GTGCCATTCTCTCCTTCGGCTCTCCCTCTCTCGGCCTTTCTGTCCTCAGCTTCATCGGCTCTCAACACTCCCCCTTGAGCGCTATCCAAATGCATCATCCCTCTCAACCTCTGCAATCTGGGCTGGGGCAAGGCCTTGGTGAACGCATCGGCTACATTGTCCTTGGTGGGGCAATAGATGAGCTTGAAGATGCTGCTCTTGACGTGCCCATGGATGAAATGATATCGTAAGTCTATGTGTTTTGTCCTTGATTGAAACTTGCCGTTCGATGCTAATGCAATGGCTGCCTGATTGTCGCAGAATATGGAGATTGGGAGGTTTGGGGCTTCGTAGAGTTCGGCGATGAGGAGCTGTAGGAAGAGGAGTTCACACACGACACTGGTAAGCGCTATGTATTCAGCCTCTGCCGTCGACAACACTATTAATGGCTGCTTCCTCACACTCCAGGCTATGGGTGCGCCATTGTACATAACGACATAACCCGACATTGAGTGTCTATGGGGCTGCGACACCCAATTGGCATCAACAAAGGCCTCTAGGCCACCATCCGTTGCTCCCAAGGTCAGTTCCATCCTGTCTATGGCCTTCAAATAATGTAGGGCCCGTTTTTCAGCTTCCCAATGGGCTCTGCCGGGGTTCCTCATGAACTGCGACAATGTCGCGACCGTGAAGGCGATGTCCGGGCGGGTACTGGTGGCTGCGTACATCAAGGACCCAATGGCCCTCTGATAAGGTATGTTCGCGCATGTCTTGTATTTCGGCGTGGGTCATGGGGGATTGGTCTACTGACAGAGTCGTTGTAGATTATGTTGGGGTCTGGACATTCTTGGTGTCGCCCAGGCGAAAACATTCGACAATGGTCATGACGTACACCTTTTGAGACAGCGTGATGGTACGTGCTCTTCTATCCCTTGTTACCTTCAGTCCTAACAGCCACTTTAGCTCTCCCAGATCACTTATCTCGAAGTGTCGCTGGAGCTGGGACTTGAAGCAATGGATGTGGGTGATGTCATTTGCCATTACAGCCATGTTGTCCACGGACACCGTGATGACAGTATGCTGGTTGGAGGTATGTTTGTGGTACACGGCTTGATCGACTTTGGACCTGCTGAATCCCAATGTTAGGAATATGCCCGATAGTTCTTCGGCCCACTTGAATCCTGCCTGCTTCAGGCCAGGCAAACTCCTCCTCAGCCTCAACACCTTTCCATGCTGGTCCTCCTTCAAGTAGCTGGGCAGGGTGCGCATATATATTTCCTCCTGGATGCTGGCATAGAGGTAAGCACTTTTGATATCTACCTGGTGTATCTCCCAGTTTTGCTGAGCCGCCATCGCTAGGACCATCCGAATTGTTATCATGCTGGCTGTGGGGGCGAAAGTGTCAAAGTAGTCGACACCGAGCTTCTGCCTCTGCCTGTTCACCATGAGTCGGGCATGCAACTTCAGCTTCTCGCCGTCTGGTCCATATTTAGTGGCCAGGACGTAATGGCACAGTATGATGTTGGCGCCTTGAAGTGGGTCCACTACCTCCCATGTACCTAGCTTCTCCAACTGACTTATCTCATAGTCCACTGCCTCCTGCCATTCAATGGCATCTGGACCATTTAGGGTCTGCTGTAGGGTGGGTTCTGGCTCTGCTGCGGCCAAGGCAAGGTGAAGATATTTTTCTTCATCCATTAGGTCCACCTCTGATGCCTCCAACAGATTCTCCATCGTTAGGGCAGCTGTCTGGCCCTCATTTAGCGCCGCATAGTATCCGGGGGATGGTCTTGCCCTCATTGACCTCATTGGAGGAGTAGATGGTTGAGGTTGTTGAGGAGTAGAAGGTTGAGGTTTCTAAGGAGTAGAAGGTTGAGGTTGCTGAGGAGTAGAAGGTTGAGGTTGCTGTGGCATGGTGATGGGCTGGACGCTACTAGGTGAGTTATTATTACCGTTGCCACTGCTATATTCGTTAATAGCAGTAGACTCCCCCTCATCCAGCACACCATCAGCTGCCAGGATCAGCTTGAAGGTGACATTCCTTTTGACTGTGACTCGACGTTTCCCGGGCCAGTATACCCGGTATCCCTTACTTTCAGCATCTACCCCCACGAAGACTGCCTCTTCTGCCCTTGCCTCCAGCTTACCAGCCTCCAGTGCATGGACGAAGACTGTCATCCCAAATTCGTGGGCGTGCGACAAGTCTGGCTTGGACTTGCACACCATCTCATAGGGTGTGCTACCTGGGATGGCTCTTGAAGGTAGGCAGTTCTTGAGCCACATGGCATAGCTAACGGCTTCGGCCCACAGATACTATGGCATGTCTTTGCCCAGGAGCATCGCTCTCGCATGCTTGACCAGGGTCCGATTGAGCTGTTTGGCCACACCATTCTGCTGTGGTGAGTCATGCACCATTAGTTGCCGTTCAATACCTTGCTGACACAAATATTGGTCAAACTCAGTGCTCAAATACTCCCCTCTGTCTGAATGGACTTTGCGCACGCAGACACCTGGTGACTGACGCGTCACCCATGCCTCGTAGGACTTGAACGTGGTAAGTGCGTCACTCTTTTGTTTGAGGAACTTCAGTCGTGTTTGGCGGCTGAAGTCATCCGTAAAGCTGACATAGTACTTGCAGCCTCCCAAACTTGTCATCTGGGCCAGTCCCCAGAGGTCCATGTGGACTAACTCTCCATAGGTGAGTGCGTGAATTCTCATCTCTTTGGGAAAGGATTGTTGAGCTGACTTAGCCTTTGTGCAGGTCTCACAGAATTCTGCCTTTGTCTGTGGGTCAAACTCGACTCCCACCACCATACCCTTCCTGATGGCATCCACCAATGCATTTTGGCCAATGTGGCCCAACTTTCGATGGAGCTGGCCAAAGGTAAGCTTTTCCTTTGCGACATTGGCATGATGGTGTTGCTGACCCTTTGTTGCAATGGTGTACAGACCTTCTACCTGTGGGATCTCTGCAATGATTTCATGCTTGGGTCCTCGAGAGAGGATCTTGCACATCCTCCCCTCGAACAACATGGCCAAGCCAGCAGATGCTATCTGGTTGGTGGATATTAGGGTGAAGGCCATGGTGGGCGCATATAGTGTGTCCTTGAGTGTGACACTGGTGCATTTTGCACCCAAAGGTAAGTCTATTTTCACATCACCGCGTCCGGTAGCACTGACAATGGAGCTGTTCGCAGTATAGACCCTCTGGGGCCTTATTTCAACAAAATTGTTGAACTTGGACTTATCCTTATCTGGGCAGAAGTGGGAGGTAGCACCGGAGTCGACAATCGTGCCTCGGCGCTCGACAGGTATGTGCATATTTTCAGCTACACTTGCAAGATCTGATGTCACAAAGGCATAGTTGTCCTGTGGTTTGGACTCTTTCGCGGTGTTTGCCTTCTGGGTACGTGCACCTCTCCTTGCCTTCTGCTTCAGTCCCTGACCCTCCTTTCCACCTCCTTTCCTCCAGCACTCACTCTTAAAGTGACCTTTCCGGTCGCAATTCTGGCAGACAGCATCAGGGTTATAGTGGGGTGCTGCGCCATCCTGGCCTTTGGACTTTGCATCATTGGTGCATGCTGAAAGGGCTGAGTTGGCACCTCTCTTGGACGGGCGTCTGTCAGTGAGCAAACAATGCTCATACTCCTCGCTGATAATGTTGACAAACTCATAGGTACTTAGTGGTTTCAAGGGTGATCTTGGCCGCTGCGTTTATCGAGGACAGGATGGGCCGATACGATTCAGAGAGGGACCCTAGGATAATCACGTAGAAATCCTTTTCATCAATGGAGGCTCCCATTCCTGTGAGAGATTCACACAGCCGCAGCATTTCACTAAAGTGCACTCATATGTCTCTGTTCTCCTTGCACCGAGTCTCTTGCAGCCGACGTCTAAGGTCGATCTGCACTAGTTCTGTCTTGCCCTCGTGAATCTGACACACCTCTTTCCAGATGTCCGACGCAGCCTCGAGTTTTTGGACTCGCAACAGGAGTCTGTCCATTATGGTACTAAACACCTGCTGCTTTACTAACAAGTTGCACTGATAATATTCATCCAGCTTTTTGTCAAGGTCATTGATTTCTGCCTGGGTGGGCATGGTACTGTCCTTCTTGGTCACGGCACCAGTCTTTGCATCAACAAGGAATGCTATAGGCTTTACTGCCTGGCCGTCCACGTAGCGCATCAATTTTTGTGCTCCAATCGCCATCAAGGTATGTTCTTTATAAGTGATCCAGTTTGCAGGCGTCCCTGTAGTGTATTAATTAATACTACAGTACTATACTGTGCAGCCATTTATAAATACCTGCCATTATTACAGTAATATAGTCTACACACAGTTACTGGCCATTCTACATGCATATTTGCAGGGCACCCGCTGCAGTAGCTTCTGCATTGTATTGGTTTGTTTATGCACTGTTATGTTTTCCGGAATAGTACCTTATTTCACTTGTCCATTTTTGGCAGGCAAAACATATCATGGGTGGCGTGGCTGCTCTGTTTCGGCTAGCTTTGTTTGTTTTCATATATTCCGTCCTTCCCATTTAGGCAATACAACATATCATTGGCATTGTGGCTGTTTCTGTTTTTTTGGCTAGCTTGTAGAATATTCCGCTTCCCATTTAGGCAATACAACATACCATTGGCGGCGTGGCTGTTCCTTGTTTGCACGTTTGTAGAATATTCCACTTCCTATTTAGGCAATACAACATATCAATGGCATAGTGGCTGTGCTAAAACATTTTGAAAAACAATTCTACCCTCCCTCGAGCTCCAGCCTCATCCGAAACATTCAAGCAGCAAACATGTATATTTTAAGTATGGATGGATGTAAACAGATGTAAAAATAGTGCACGATAAAAGAGAGAAAACAAAACAGCAAGGAAGAATGTGTGGACATAAGAGTAGATGAGATTGCTAAGGTAGGACTACCACCTGTGACAGATGATGGGGGAAAAGATGAAGGGGCAGTAGGGGGGGAAGGCATGGGATTCCAAGTGAAAAGGTTGAGATCCAGCTGTTCATTCATCATTATCGTTATCGTCATCTCCAAACTCCATGTCGTAGTCGTCGTTAATTTCAACCTCAATAGAAGATAACCCCGTGGACGCAGTGTGAGTTGCAGATACCTGTGACAGGGCAGCCTTTGCCCGTGATCTAACTGGCGCCCATTTTGCCTCCAACTGCACAGCACGATACTGCTCGACAGAGGCTTGCTCTGCAGCATAGGACTGGAGTCCTTCAAGAAGCTGGTCATCAACCTCCCCTCCCCTGACGGTAGCCCTCTCAGCCCACCATCTAGCCCACCATTGACAGTATTTGATGACCCATCGCATCTCCTCCTTGATAAGCATGAGCTCTTCACTCCAGCATGCCGCCCGCTGTCTTCTTAGATAGATGATCTATAGATAAACACCTATAAAAACAAATATCTCCACGGTCAGCAATTCAGACAAATACCAATGGCTGTTTACACTTTCCAAGCTATGTCAGACAACAGTACTTCTGTAAGGTCAGCAACAATGCAGTCAATCCAACAAAAAAAAATGAAACTGAAATGAAATCACTCCAACGGTATGGCAGTGATTGAAAGACGAAAGAAAACTAGTCAACCCAACGGGATGGTGATGACAAAAAGAAACAAAGAAAAAAAAGACACCTCTTCAAACCTTCCTTCAACAACAATGCCTTGTAACAATCGTATCTCGAAAGAGTTGTGTGGAATTACAGCAATCAACCCCCTCAGCACAAACAGGTAGAATCAAAGGTCAAGACAAATCAATGCTCAGTAGAACTCTTAGCTCACTGTTGAACCTGCTGCCAAGGAACTCACGATGAGTATTAAACAGAATCAGGAACGGACGTCCTTGGTTTCAGTACCAAGTCCCCTATTCAACAACTAAAGTCTAGCAGACAAGGAAGATCCTGGCTCAGTATCACTACTCAGATGAGTGAGGTCAAGCGTTACTGTCAATCCCTAAAGTCTCCCCACTAAACTATTCGGAGTCTAGATGGACGAAAGAGACAACACAAAAGCTTCTGAAAATATGAATGAAAGCGTAGCACTGAAACTTGAAAGAGAAGAAAGAGAGAGGATCACAGAGAGAGAGAAAAGAGAGAAAGAGCGAAAGAACGAAAAAAAAGAAAAACTAAAACAAAAGAGTGACAGAAAAGAAAGACAAAGAAAGAAAGAGAGAGAAAAGAGAAAAAGAGAAAGAAGAAAACTAGAAAATCAAAGAAGAAAAAAATAAAAATAAAGTTCTGTCGGTCGTTGAGCACAGTGAGCTCAAGGTCTTGGTCGTCGTTGGTGGTGATGAGCTAAGGGTGTTGCTGGATGCTGATGCTGATGAGCTTAGGGGCTTGCTGGTTACTGAAAGTTGCTGGCTGACTACTGGTTACAATGACTTTGCTGAAGGTACTTGACAGCCCTGGTCACTGTTGTTGACAATGATCACACTTCACACACAATTTTATTCTGAAAGTGGGGCTACAAAGCTCTCTTCTTTGGGCAAAAATTTGGGCCTTATATACAAAAAAAGGGTGGCTGTGCTACATTTTCCCGCCATCTGTGAGGGGTGAGCTTAGTCAGCGGTACCAAAAATCATTTTGCAGGGGTTGCTTATGTTGCACCAAATGAGACCATAATTAGTCAGCATTAGTCAGCATGCTTGGGCTGTGTTCTGTCATCAGTTGATTTGGATCAAAAGTCACCTGACTTAAGATCATGTGATTTAGCATCATGTGACTGAAGGGTCATGTGACAGGCTGATTGTGCACTGTAAGAGAAATATTCATGATCATTGGTGTTCCGTTCTGATGTCACTTTGTTGAATGAGAAAATGACGCGAGGCAAGTATTTAGGGTTTTGAGGAAGTTTTCCCAGGGTAACCCATGCAAGAACTATTTTTCACAGTCACCTGGCATGTGTGGGATTCAGCCTGAGTCATTGTTGAGGATGACTAAGCAAAATTCATCGCAGAATTAAATATACAAAAATATTCAGCCTGTCCAAGTTCCATTGAAAAGACGAAATGAAATATTTGTCTGAGCTGCATTCTGGCTTTAGAATAGAGGGAAATGGTTTCATAGTGATTTCTAGGGTATTAGGCTCATGGGAGAGCATTAGTCATCCATGCACTGAACCAGTTTGGTGCAGGTCACTGCGCTTTTGCCTTGGCCCACTCTACATGAAGAGCTTCACAAACTCATCAGTGCTGTGCTTGCCAAAACCTTTGAAAACTGTACCTTCATGCATTCCGAAGTCACCATCTTCAGCCATACTGACAGAGTACAAAATCCAGGATAGGACACGACACCCTTCTCTGAGCTGCGCAAGGGCACCGCACACTGCCTCCACCCTATTCAGCTGCTCCACACCTGGCTATAAGTGCTCTGCATCCTCTTCTTCACAGGCAAGCACAGCCTTTTCTCCTAACCCTCTCACATCACTGTCCTCAAGAGGCTGGAGGGCCTTCTCCCAATCACCAGAGCCAAGTAATGCCAACAGGCACTGATGCGATCTACAATACCGTGTTTTGGAAGAATGCACTCGGAGGTCATTGGCATGCTGGAGGCCTCTTGCTCTGGTATTAGGCCATTGGCCTGTAACATTATTCACCTTCCAGCGGTTGAGAAAAGTGCGAGTGCGAAGATGCCTATCCAAAGCATCAGAAGTATCAGCACGGTGTATGTGGATCTCAATATCAACGAGGTCATTGACACAAACTTGGTGACGAATGGAACTGTTGACATCGGAGGGCATGAAGAGAGTGAGTGACTTGGGTAGAACATCTGCAGAAACATTTAAAACTGCTGGATCTTCAAGACGATGCCATAAGGATGGCATGTACACATCCTGCAGTTGACGAAAGTTTTGGATCTTCCGATGGAGGCCTGCATGGCGCTCTGAGAAGGCAGCAGCCTGTAAGGTAGAAATTTTTTGTTTTTCTTTGATATCAATGTAAAGATCTTGCCTGAAATATATATCAGTATCTACCTATGAATTAGCAGGAAAAACTCACTGCAAATGTTCGATATCCAAGCCCAGCATCAGGAATGACAAGGTAGTTGTCTCCTCTCCACCAGAAACACCAGCTATTCCACACGCCTCGTCTTCCTGTGCTAGCTGCAAGCGAACATCTGAAAGTGTCATGGCTGTCAAGAGAATTAGATGTGGGCCCCGTCCGCCGAAAAGAACTTGCTACTCACCATTATGATGATCTTCATATGGGCAAGGCTTGCAGTGGTCTTCTTCCCAATCCACTAGCATTTTTTCCCACTGGTAAAGCTGCTTGGGCCTTTCTTGACGCAAGCCTTCTTGAAATTCCTGAAACATTTGCTGCTGAACGACAGCTTCAGGTATAAACTCTAACATACAATGAAGGAGAGTATTGCCTAACTTATTATCAACTTCAACTTAGTGTAGAGGGATAAGAAATCCTTACCGAAAGAGAGCACCTTCTTGTAGTTTGAAAACCCACAGAAGTCATCCAAGGTATCTCACCGCGCACCAGGGCCCATTTCCTTGGTGCTGCACGCAGCCCCATTCAACGCTGACCAATTACGCTCGATCCCTTCTCCATCAGTCCGTCCCACTCCTCGCATGTAGTGTAATGAGTATAACAATTGGCAGATTTGTTCATGTACGATGATGTGAAATTTAGGGATGACACCCGTGAGGTTCTCCTTCTGCAAGTTGCTGCGGAGGTGGTCTGGAAGGGCCTCTATACGGCTCCAAAAAATTTTCTTCCACTGGCACATAACATCGTAAGATAGCACGATGGGAAGTGTACCAGCACCGGTGATGCTAGACAAGAATACATAGTCCATGTTACAATATCTTGCACAATGTCAGCAACAACAACACGCAAGCAACGTGAGAGAACACACCTTTCGCCTTTCTGGAGGTCTCCAAGTCCATTTGGCCTCCATAATTCATGACGACATACCACTCCGCCTACCCCAGCGACACGAACACCCTTTCGACACTTTAAGTTGGCAAGAAACAAGGCTGCGAAACCAGCACAGGTGCTGATTTCTTCTTGATCCACATACTTCTTGAGGTGTTCGTGGTAGGGCCCGCTGGCATTGAAGTAGCTCCACCCAGGAGCTAAGGCAGGATCCTTCTCTTTGCTTGAGCGCATGCGATTTCGAAGTCGAAAGTTAGCATCCATGTATAGAAAGAGATTGTAAAGAAATCTATTAGAAGGCCCATAAGCTGTTGGACTCCATGCAGAACGCGTAAGAGATTTCACACCTAGAAGATGGAGGAATGTTCTCTAAGTGCTCTGGAATATTGATCCCAGCAGCAGGGCAAACTCTGCATTGCACAGCAAGCTCTCCCTCCTGAGTTCCTATCACACCAGTCAAACTGTGTCCTCTTCCTCCCTGTTTAAGGCTCTTGAGATGCCGCCATTCACGAACCATGATCATGAAGGCGGGTAGGCATCCCTAACAAGTCGATAGAAGTCAGAACATAATTTAGCACTGAAAATGCATAAATACTGACCTGGACCTTAATTAGACTGGTAGGATCCGTCATAAAATCCAATGCCTTGTAAAAGTCGTATCTGGATGTATGGCCTTGCAGATTCAATGTGTGAAAGATGCGAAGTACCTCAAATGTAGCACATGTCTGTGGGTCCAGTGGTGTGGCAGGAAACCAATATGCTCGTAGCAGTTGAGCCCAATGATCAGCCATGAGACCTCCTTGGCATCCGCAGAAGTCAACGGAGACAGTGTGAATGCCATTGATGTGGATTATGGTGAAATCCTTGCGGCCAGGGACATGACGGGCACAGTGCTCATGCTTCATATGACCTAGCTGCAAATTTAATCCAATTTCTTTCAATGATGTTTGCTGAAAACAGTCCTCGCGCCATCTCTACAGGACAAGTTCAATCAATCAGCATTGGTGAAGCTATAGTCGAACATAAGAAAACTATGTACCTCAATTCGATGCAGTGGCAGATCAAGATGTTTCTCAAGTGTACATGATGAGCAGAGAATAGATGGGTTGCAGCAATCAATACATCAAATGGTGGGTTTGGATTTGTTACACTGAGGGCACCGGTCTAGTTGAAAATATGATCCGCAGCCATCTAACCGCAGCATCTCGTCCAGATATCGAGCTCGATACTTTGTAAATGTCTTCAATGGTACATCCTTGTTGAACAGAATAAGTCAGTGTATCTGAAAATGGCAGAGCTAGCTCACCGAGTTTTCATAGTGTGTGGCAGAGGTTGTTATGACATCTACACCCTCCAAACCCTCACCACCATCACTAAAACCTAATGGCACATCATCATAGCCATCGAAAGACACACTCATCAAGTTTTCGGGACCAGCGGGTTGCTGTGGGTCATGGTCCCTCTCCACATGCACTTTGGTTGAGCCAAATAGGACGTGTTGTTGGTCAGCGGTGAGGGCTATTTGGCGGGAAATCACAGGCTGTTCATGGTGGACATAAAACTCAGGCTTGCGCTTTGGAGGTCGTCTGGTATTGCAAGTATTCATTAGTGACAAGTCTCAACAAATGTCAAAAAGAGAAGTAGAAGTCGCTAGTGTGGGGTTGAGGTCATGTGACCTGTATGGAAAGTGCATTTGAACATTATTGAAGGCTCAAAATTAATCTCAGTACTCAGTGTCTAGATAATCAGGAAGGAGACAAGGCAGAGGCAAAGGTACAGGACTATTGACTGATTGATTGGGCTGCATTATGTATGATTTTGTTGTCTTTGAAGATGGGGATGTATGAAGATTATTGATGTGCAATAGGAGGTCTCTGAGTCGCGTCTGAGTTCTTCTATTTGGCATGATCTCACTCTAAGTCCTCATATCAGTTCTAGTCTTCCAACTTAGTTGTTATCCATCTCAGGCCTAGGGAGTTTCTCCCTAGGCTGGAGCTCTGCTTATCCGATACTCTGCTCATCCGCTCATCCGATCCTCTGTAGCTTCCGGAAGTTCATCCGGATCTTTCCCGCGGTCCTCCGGACCTATTCTGCTTCGGACTTTGTCCTTGCAGCCTTTCCTCTGTTTACTTCTACTCAGGACAAGTCCCGAGTAGCCATTATACATATCCGTATCAGGATGAAACCTCATCATAATTTCTGGAAGTTCCTCCAGAACTTTCCTGCACTCATCCGGAAGTTACTTGCACCCGTCCGGAAAGTCCTTCTGAAGTTTCCCGTGCCTTTGGATGTCCTTTGGACGTCTTTGGACTTTCCTCGGACACCAATCTGAAATTAAGGGCACATACTCGGGTAAGGGGCACAGCGCACAAGCTGAAGCCAAGCCCCTCAGAATCAGTCCTACCCTTTGTGCATGGTCTTAACAGATCACAGAACTTACACCGCTAACCTCATTCATTGCCAAGTTCCTTGATGACTTTGAGCACAACAATTTGAAAATATTAGGGATATACTTACCACACTGGGTAGACACCTGGATGTCGGCCTTTGTACACAATGTACCAATGGCTGGACTCGGATGTTTCTGCCAAATGAGACAGAATATCTTCAGGCATCTGGCCCATTAGGTCATGCATGTCATTCGGAATTTTGGCGGTCTCATGGACAATCAAACCCATAGCCATCCCAATGCAAACGCCGCCCAAGCCTGATCACTTGTATGAAACCCTTGATACATGGCACCCGAATAGCGAGACACTTGGCTCTCACAGTCACTCCTGCAAAATAAATTACAAAGGATATTGATAAGCAATTTACAAGACCTACCAGGTAGTATAGATGCCTGGACGTCTACCAGCCCATACTACATAAAACTTAAACCACGGGCGTGTCCTCGCAGAACATTGAGTAATTCGATGGACATGGGCACTTGGGATGCCCTGAGTCATGTGGCCTGCTATTGCCCTACATACATTAGATAGGAATCTAACATACTACTTTGAATCACTCACCACGATGTGGTCACCCCACTGACATCCTGATTAGTGACATGGTACGACCTCTCATCCAGGGCCCTCAAGTAGACATCAATGATGCAGCTTATGCTGACAACTATACAACTGACCGAGTAGAAGAAATATTTGAAGCGTGGTTTGAATTATGTCGATCTAAGTCGGTAGTAAGAGCAATTGCTTTGCTTCTGATACGCTCTGAATAGATTGGCTGCCAAGCCTCACCACTCAATGTTTGTTTGTAAAATATGCCGGGAACATGATCAGGATAGTCTAGACTCTGAATGGACCGCTGAGTTGTATTTGGCGCGGTAATGGTAGAATTGGTGGCAATAGCCTGGGTAGATGGTTGTGTTTGTAGGACCTAAGTAATGCAATGATATGGGCGGTCAGCATATCTGCAATACTTGTGAAGAATCACGGTCTTACCAATGGAGATGAAGCAAGAGTCACAATTGTATGCTGCAGAGTGGTTACAGCAGACTGCAGGTGACTGACGGTAGTCTGCAGGTCTGCTAGTACAGCGCTGAAGTCAACAGTGGTGTGGTCCAGTCCAAGGTCAATATTCTGCATAGCGTGCGAAAGAGCTGAGTCTGATCAGTGAGTGTGAGGATGGTCCATGGGAGCAAAGGGTATCAGACACGAGGGTAGCGGACTCCACAACCAATAAGTCAGTTTGTCATTGTTTGGGGGCTTGAAATTAATGGGCTAGTACATACTGAGACACCAAGCGGAGTACGATAAAGTCAGTTTGTCAGTGTTTGCGAGCCTGAAATTAGTGGGCCAGTAATGTACTGAGACACCAATAGTCCTGACTTAGCATGCCTGAGGCTGACATTCCAGGGAAGAAAAAAGGTCAAGGATGTTCGACTTGGGCCACCAGAACGAAGTTCAAGTTTCTGGATGCTTGTGCAACAGAATGGCAGGAGAGCTTAGACAATAACTCTTCCACCTCATTCTACACCTCTGTGACTCGGCTATGGGTCAAAAAATATGGCTGGTATTTTGATTATTGGTCAGATCTTGAAGAGGACATTGAAGATCCAGCAGATGACGACCTGGATTTCGCAGATGGAGCAGATGGCAAGGAGGAGCTGACGAAATGCAACAACTATTTTGATGTGATGCATGTGGTGTGTGTAATTTCCTTTTTTGGATGCTGCAAAGTCTTAGTAAATCTCCCAGCGCATACAACAGTGGTATCACCATCATTATCGTAAAGCACAAACTGCCATCACCAACAACAATATGGAAATGGCTTTGAATACCTTAGGCAACTTTGCACCAAAACCTCCACGAAAGCCCCGAATCCTGCAATTTTACTCAGCGAATTTCTACAATGATTGCATCAAGCACGCTGCGGAGTTCGAGATTATGAAGAAGTTAAACGAATACAAAGTTCAGTTGCGGGAGTGGGAGGTAGCCACAAAAGAAACATCTTTGGACGGAGAGGACCCACCTGCAAAACCTAAGCCCCCTCATCGCATCACTATTTGAAACACAGTCACAGAGAGAATGTGGCGTCCAGAAAGCCAAAATTTCAGAGATGAGGTTGAGACCAAGATGAAGGAAGAGCATAGGATTGCATTGGAGGCATATGAGAGTGGTGTGCAGGTTATGTCCGCTGTGACTCCTACTGCACAAGATTACCACAAGTAAGTGACATCCTGGCTTTGTTGACCGCTGTTTGACATATCTTTTGAAGTAACATATCTCAAGCAGCTGCGTTCCTTCAGCCTTTGGCTGATGCAATCCAAAAGCAGTTTGGTATGGCGACTTCCATCTTGATGGTTGGCCCAATCCCTTCGCTAAAAGGCAGAATTGAGATGAGAAGGTCAGTCCTGTCCACATTTCATTTTTCTTGGGATAATGTTAATATATTTGTGAGCAGTGTTCACTCGGGTGCAACTAATGCAGCCCTACCTCAACTATGGCCTCAGTTCGACCCCGACAGATTTACTGCTGTGAGTCAGTCCATGGTGAAGTTTGGCGAGCATGTATTTTGTAAGTGAATAATCATTGCTGTAACTTGGTGATTAGCCAACATTGATGAAGCATCATCAGATTGTGTGGCTCGAGCGCTGTCTTCCTCCCCTATAGCCGATAATGAGGATCCCTCAGTTAATGCACCTGTTGACCACATCACACCTACTGCTACAGTCCCACCGGCTTCCTCTACTGTGCGGGAGCTCAGCTCATCTCACATCCTTACGCCTGAAGATGAGCCTCAATGTAATTCTCAGGAGGGATCGTCCAACGCTGCACGTAATACTTCCCCTCCCGCATCTCTGAGTGACATAACACCTCTCGCACCTCCCACCATTACACCGGAGGTCTCTCCTTCTATTGTTGGTTCTCCACCAACCCCAGTCCCTTCTGTTGACTCTCTTGCAAATCCTACTGCGACTGTACCTGCTGAAGAACCGAAATTTGATCTCTCAGGGTGTTCTGAAAAGAGCATGGTAGATTATCGCTACGTCTTGAAGCATCTTGATTGAGGCCGACCATGGACACATTGTCTAGAGCGGTTTCTGAGCTTTGAGAGGATGTGTGGCTTTCTTGATGGCAGGAAGAGCATCCCACTTACCAAATGCCCCAAGGATTTCAAGATCTGGTTTCATGGCAGCCGCAAGGACTTTCTTCCCAAAAACTTCAACGAGTTTGTCAGTGGCATGGTGGCATGGTGGACAGCCATCCAACCTGATGACCGTGAATGTGATTCTCAAGGCGCGCATATGCGTGAAACACAGGACGCAGATTGGTCACGGCTTCGCAAGGCAGGAAGGAATGGCATGTACTTAATTGTGGTAGGTCTGATGTGGTGGCACAACATGATTTCTAACAACAAGACCATGGGAGAATGGCTTGCCATAGTTGAGGATGTCTCTTGGGTGCTCGAGAGCATGGTGGCCACCCACATTGATGAATGTGTGTCTCCCACACCCTCACCACCTTCCCCATTGACTGTCCACTGTGGCAAGTGCAAGATTACTGTGGTGGAGAGTACGAACGGTGTGAGTACCAGGTCTAAGCGGGCGAGGGCTACCTAATTACATCACACACTAATTTTGCATCCATCCATACTTAAAATATACATGTTTGCTGCTTGAATGTTTCGGATGAGGCTGGAGCTCGAGAGAGGGTAGAATTGTTTTTCAAAATGTTTTAGCACAGCCACTACGCCATTGATATGTTGTATTGCCTAAATGGGAAGTGGAATATTCTACAAACGTGCAAACAAGGAACAGCCACGCCGCCAATGGTATGTTGTATTGCCTAAATGGGAAGCGGAATATTCTACAAGCTAGCCAAAAAACAGAAACAGCCACAATGCCAATGATATGTTGTATTGCCTAAATGGGAAGGACGGAATATATGAAAACAAACAAAGCTAGCCGAAACAGAGCAGCCACGCCACCCATGATATGTTTTTCCTGCCAAAAATGGACAAGTGAAATAAGGTACTATTCCGGAAAACATAACAGTGCATAAACAAACCAATACAATGCAGAAGCTACTGCAGCGGGTGCCCTGCAAATATGCATGTAGAATGGCCAGTAACTGTGTGTAGACTATATTACTGTAATAATGGCAGGTATTTATAAATGGCTGCACAGTATAGTACTGTAGTATTAATTAATACACTACAGGTACTGGTGCAGTTTGTGCCATCTTTGGCTAACTTGGGTACATTGAACAGGGATGAACTGGTAGTGGGGAGTGTCATGTCCATGGCCGGGGCAGGGCTCATAACCTATTGTGAGTATAGTGGGGCACACACACGGAGCTAGACAAAGGTACGAGTCTCAGTGTTCGTTATACGAATCTCAATTGACAAATGTTTGTACCTAGACAAAGGTATGACTACTTGTACTCAAACATTACAGAAACTTTTACTCACATCTCAGTGTTCGTTGTACAAATCTGAGACATTTCGACGACAGCTGGCTCCTTTTATAAGGTGAGTCTGCCAGCAGGAGTTTTTGATGAGAACATATACTTAAAGAACGAAAAAGATTGCTGATGTTGACACGTCGTCTGGATTCTCCATTTGGTGGTGCTCGCACAATGAGTTGCTTCATCTTTCGGCCGTAGTGCCATTCTCTCCTTCGGCTCTCCCTCTCTCAGCCTTTCTGTCCTTGGCTTCATTGGCTCTCAACAAGTATGAATATACATGAAGGTTCTAATGATTAAGAAGGATGGGGAAAGGTTTGGGTAAAAGCCCGAAGGGCTTTTCGGCCTGGTGCATGTGTCCGAACCTATGGTTTCAAGGTGAGCTGAGATCCCATAAAACATAGGAGAGTAGCGACGCAGACTGCGAAGCTTGACACCCGGTGATGATAGGAGCTGTACTCACCTAGGAAAAATTTTAGCGCACCGGAGGGAGTGTTTGGCATGAGAAAGGTTCAAGTGCTGGGGATAGGGCTTGGATATAAGGTGTGATGACGACTGCATGGTCTCTTAAATAAATGGTGAAAGCATCGCTAGACCACCGGCCCATGGACTTTACTACATCGAAAGGTATTCCTCTCAGCAAATATTTGAGCATCCCACTGATCCTGATGCCATGGCCTTTGAGGTCAGGTAGGCTGGCTGTTTGGGCAATTGTGGCAAGTCTTTTTAACACTTCTCTCTTCGATAGCGGTCTCATACCTAGTGATGTTCTGGCTCGGCTTCAAGCCCGGGCCAGGCCAAGCCAGGCCTGATTGAGCCAGGCCCAGCCCAGGCCTAGGACATGGCCTGACCAAGGCTTTGGCCCAGGCTTTAATTTTGCGAAGCCTAAGCCACCGGCCCAAGCTGTGGCTTAGCAGTGCACTATCTATTTCAGTATGTGAGTTTCTGTTTATGTTTATGTTGCCATCTGGCGATTGGTATCAGCTTCTCAGTTGATCATACCATGAGGTATGTCAGAATGAGATCACAGTGAGTCGCCATTGTCATGTTATTAAAGCTCGCTGATATTTACCCCAGTCTTGAAAAGCAAACATTCAGCAATCCATGCACCTCTACAGTCTTGCCTGGCACTTCAACTTCACTGCCTTTGCAAACTTAATCTGTTTTCGAATCATGTTTGATTTTTTATATGTGGTACGTGTATATGTGTTGTATCTACCTAGCAGCCTGCAATGACCAGCACAGTCCACACAGATAGTGAGGATGAACCTATCGTGCATTCTCGTCCCATACACAGGATCAAACCCACTGCTGCTCTCCTCCAACACTCGGAGAAGGCTGCCCTTCCATCCCAAACCAAAGCCATCAATGAATTCCATGCCGCAGAGGCAGCCAAGCGTGCTTTGGAGGTTTCTGCCCAACCCAAGCCCATGTCCCACCGAGGGGACAACAAAGACTTGAATAAGGGTATCGCACTTCAGACATGGCAGCCACTGGTTAAGCTTTAAGACAGGCTTGCAGGATATGTGGCTCTTCACTTGTACAGGTTTGTTCTTCATTGTTTGTGTTCATTCTTGCCTGCTGCACTCATTTTCACCTGCACATGTTCATTCTCGCCCGCACGCATTCATTCTTGCCCACCCATGTTCATTCTTGCATTTGTTCTCACCTGCAATAGCCAATGGGAAAATTCAAACTTTTTGTTCAATGCTGCCACTTGTTTCATACATTGCGCATCTAGACTCGACTCTGAATGGGGGACTAATATGTTTGTTGGACAAGGTGTGTTTGTTTTTCGTACATCATGCGTGCGGCTCACTTGCACTTGTCTGTACTTGCCCATGCCTCCACTCCTCCTTGTGCCATCCACATATGTTCGATTGTCTTCGGTGGGGTTGATCAGGAGATGATTATCTAAAGCCACTTTAGGGTCTGAAGTGCCTTCTTGCACGGCCCAGAAAGCATCCTCTCCATTTAGAGGGGAAGACTTAGTGCTAGAGATGTGGAACTTGGTGACAAGGAGACCATTTCGGTCGGTAGTGGTGGAGATGTGTTTGGATGGGTTGAAGGATTTGATTGTGGGAACGGTGAATTCTCTGAGTCTCACTATTGCATAGAATGTTGTAGTGATGCAGGCAAATATTGCTGCGTCACAATGATCACTTAGGTTCATGAAAGAGTATATAGTATTGAAGATATCGACAGTGAAAGGATTGCATTTCGAGCATTTAGAGGATTCTGGCGCTAGGGCTGTGGCACCATCTAGGATGGCCTTGAGCTCCTTCGCATTGATGATCCATGGGCGACCGTGCAAAAGGTGCCATACTTTCAGCCCTGTGGTGTAATTGGCAAGGGCAGTGCCAGAATAGGATCCTGCACAGCTAGAAAGAAAGGCGAGGAGTAGAGTAGGAGATATTGGACAGCGTTGTTCTTCTGGTATCTTGAGAGAGTCGCAATAGACATGGAAAACTAAAAGACCAGCACCATATATTTCTTTGGTGGATAGAGCCCAGGATGTGATCTACTTGGTCATCTGATATGGACATTTCGGTTGATCCAGTGGGTGCGAGACGTGTGCTTGTTCCTGGTGGAACCCACTTGCGAAGTCTTTTGCAAGTGAGGCAGTGAGGTCTGAGGGGGGAGGGAAGAGGAGTGAGGCTGGGTTTATATGGTTGTGGTGAGGGAGTGGGTTGGGGAGAAGGTGGTAATGGGGCGCTGAAACGAGAGTACTGGATGTTTGTACTAGTTGGCGATGACATCAATAATAATCTGGTCTTCTTCAGTGTGGGCTGCTCTGGTGTGTTCAATGGCTTGTTGGCATATGAGCGTGCTATTAATGAGTTTGGCAGCGGGAGGGGTGTACTGCCCATCATGGAAGAGACAGTACTCTGTGGGAGTGAGTGGGAGTGTTGTGTCAACAATGAGGTCTTTGAGCTGGGAGGGAATGTGGATTTCAGGGAGTAGAAGGTGCTCTGGTCCAAGCTTTCCTCTTGAAGGCCTGTCTGTGGGGTTTGACCTGCTTGGGACATATTCTGTGTGGATTTTGAAATGTCTGGGTAGAGAGAGAATGAAGTTGTGGATGCGCTTGAAGACTTCATTGACAGTTTTGTTTCGATGGCAGCCTTTCTACCATCCTTCGACAACTCCGGTGTTATCGCTGTAGATGATGATATAGTCGCTAATGCCAGGGAGAGAGGTGAGAGTGTGTACCAAGAGTTTGAAGCTGATTGCTTCGGCCCATCCAATGTCTCTTGTGGCATTGTTGGCAGTTTTCCAGCCTGGGATGAGTCTCCAGGCACGCCAATGGTCTCCCACAACAATTCCGATGCCAATGCTGGAGCTGGTGTCCGAGAAGGCTAGGGGAATAGCAAAAGGCATAGGAGGGTAAATAGGTCAAGAAATGCTGCCGGATTGGAGCATTTCTGACCACCAGATTAAGTCGCTCTGGACTTCTTTGTCGGGTTGATGTGGCATGAACAGTTTCCCATGACAAAGGGCGATTGTGCATTCCAGGCTTGTCAGGTATGCTCTGCCCCTTATGGCTGTGGAGCAGGCATGCATTAATTTATTGTAAGCTGTAAAGCTTCTTGTAGCATGTGTGCTGGCTTCTTTCTCCAGGCATGAATAGCTAGAAGGTACTTGTTGACCTTGTTCTCACTTAACAAAACTACACGAAGGTACAGGTTCCAAGTGAAACTGATGTAGATAGTGTGCAGGGTGAATGGCTGGTCTTTGTCCAGCTGCCAAAAATATACCTAAGTCATCCGAGACATTGTCAACATCCTGGAGATTGAAACTAAAGAGCCGGTCATGCTCAGATCTGGGTGAGTTGCTGGAGAGGTCTCTTATCGGCTGTGAGCAGTCCTCACTGAATTCCTCTATTGTTCTGTTGTCGAAAATGCAGCCGCCAAACCAGAGTCTGCTTCTGGTTTGGTGGATGCCTCTTTCGGCTAGGTCTTTTTTCATTGTACTCCCTTAGGAATTCTCTCTGGACTCTGAAGAAAATGTGGTCATTGACCAATTTCTCTAAAGGTCCTATGCTGTGGTTGCAGAATATCTCAGCACCTGCATCGGCAACATGGCCGTAGGCTCCTGCTGACAGTGTAGCACTGAAGACCATGCAGGTGTCGACACAGAACTCAGTGTCTGAGGTTCTGACGATGGCTGCGGGCCATTGTAAAGGGTGCAAGGGGAGGGTTTGGTATGCTTCGGCAACATCTCATGTTGCCATTTCCGAACCTAGTGGGAGTCTCAAAATCAGTAGCTAAACAATGGAAAACTTACCCCAAGTAGTGGGGAAGTCGCTAGAATTAATGTAGGAGTTAATGGAAGGGTTAGGAAAGAGCAGATCAAAGGAGTGTGGAAATAAAAAATTCTGTATGAGTCTGAATTTGCCCAGCTTGCTGGGCTTAGGTATAATGGAAAGCGGCGAAGACTGGAAAGGTCCTATAAGTTTTGAAAGGGAATTGGTTGAACAAGGTCCTAAGTATTGTGATGTGCTAAGTTCTTTGTGTAAGTTGGCATTGAATTGAGATTTGTAGGTAGATATAGACTGTTTATTAGGTGGGGTTTGTGTGGCTAGTATTGTAGGGAAGTTTAGAGAAAAACCAAAACAGAAACCTTCAGGAACTTTGGTGAAGCATGGCAGTAGTCAAAAGCGCTGTAGCTCTCTGTGCCACACTTCTGCTTTGTACGGCGTGATGGGGCTACACTTTCTGTACTCTAGGGCAGCACTGGGCCCCATGGGTGACAGTGCCGCATCTACAGCAGACATGCTTGGCGTCGTGTTTGGTGCTGTCGTATCCTTCCTTGCATTGCCAGGCAGTGCATAGTTGCTTGCCTTCCTTTGTCCAGAGGGCTTTGTGGGTGCGTTCGGAGATGGTGCTGTGCTTTCCATCCCACGTGAGGGTGGCTGAGCAGTCAATGGTGCGGTGAGGGCTGCGACTGAGGCAGATAGTGCAGCAGGGGAGGGGGTCATTGGGGTCTCAAAAGGACCTGCTCTTCTTGCTTAGTATTGTTTCTGGAGAAGCGGGGGGAGCACTTCTGGAAGCTAACAGAGCATGAGTGCTGCTGTTGGTTCCTGTCTGACCCTGTTGCCTCGATGGCGTGGGACTGGTGTGGTTGGCACATGATGGCCAGGGTTGGTTTGGGAGTGGGAGGCATGCAATGGCCGGCAATGATGGAGGTCACGATGTGTATGGATCATGATGTCCAGTTAATGCAGGTGGTGGCGGAGCGTGATGTCTGCCGGTGATAGGGTTTGTTTGGACGCAATGTTAAACAAGAGTGGGGGGGATAAAGGTATGAAGTAGACAGGTAATGTGGAGAACATTTAGGTGCGATTCTGATATGAGAAAAGTGAGGGCGCACGTACCTGGCTAGACAGTATCTGCATTCTGAATTGGTTGAATATTGTTTCGCGAGCTTCATTCAGCAAGTCTTGATTGATCTTCGCGATGCTCCAACTATTGGAGCTGCCGATGGTGAGGTGCCAACACTTGCATTGTTGGGCTTGATATAACAGTAGCGTGCTTTGTTTGTGAGTGTCAAAATCATGGTGCCATCTGTGATTCTGTAGTGTGGACCAGAATGCAATGTGCATATTCACTCGGTCATCTGGCCAGTCATTGTCCTTCATGAAGGTGACCATGTGAGGAGCTGATTCGTTGAATTGTTCCCAGGTGAGGTTTTCATCTTTGACAACTTGGACTTTGGGGTCTTTGGTGTAGCTGGGTAACTACAAAATATTCAAAGATGTAGTCTGTTACGACAAAGAGTCACGTGCAGACTGGGATAATCTAACAGCGACAATCACAACAGTGATACCTCGTGCTGAGAGTCCAAGGTCGGCTCCTACAGATAAGCAGGAGTTGCATATGCTAGTGGAGGCGAGCGATGATAGTGGTTACAGGAAGAAGGGGTCTCAAGTCCTCCTGAAGGTGCGGGTTCGGATGTCGAGCAAGTAGCTTTAGCAAGACAAGGAGTTCAAGGTAAAACCCAGTAAGATTAAAGTAAGGAACATCTACTTTAATCTGTCGACCTTATATAAGGCTACTCTATCGTATCTAAGCTCAGCTTGAAGCTGGGTTCTAAGTGCTTATTACCATGCATGAAGCAGGCTTCTATCTAAGATAAGGACCACGAGGTGTCCTTCTATCAGTACATGAGGCAACCATGAGGCTTGCCTTCTATCTTGATAACATAAATAGGTCATCTAGACCTATGTCGTCATAATCATGTAAGCGATCCAGACCGCTTATCTAATCCGGCATCTTCCAGGCTTCTCTTCTAATCGTTGTCTTGTCATTAAGGCCTAAAGGCCAGGGTATCGTGTCTTTGCCGTGCAAGGTGGCAGAGGGCTATCTGTAGCTGGGGGCTCACATTATGTTACTGTAACATAGTCAGTATTTACAAGTCCAAGTTTCATTTTTGATTTGTGTTGAAGGCCTTGATCTCTATTCCACACAAATCATGTTTATGCATGAAGGACATTGAGTATCATCTCAAGCTTGGGATTCCTGCCAAGTCGTGCAATCTCATCTCAGGCCTGAATTACAAAATGGTAACTCAGCAGTGAGTGTGCAGGTCAAACAGACACAGACCTGCTGCTTTAAGTTTTGCATGACCATAAGCATGTAATCAAATAACTTTGTCTTCGTCCACCGATAGATGATGGTGTAGTGCTTCAGAGTCGGTGTGGTAGGACATTTTTGCAGCACACCTGTATAACAGTGGTTAATCAAGTTATGCACCTAGATGCTGGATCTATGTACTCGTCACAACTTTACTTTGGTCATCCACATGGACTCTGTAAACAATTGGAAAGGAGAATTTGCCTCCTGTGAGGTCTTCTGCAAACCCCTTATGGTCATTATACTGGATAACATCTTTGAGTTTCTTTCATCTGGTTTGGATCATGAAGTACGCATGGGCCATGAGTGCCTCAAAATGCATTGCAACCAGATGGTGCTTGTTGATAGACACTGGAGGTACAAGTGCACACAGATAGCAAGCTTACCTCTGTACTTTGCAAATTCATGTAATCATCCGAAATCTGGAAGTACACCCCAATAATATTCACCAAAGGGATAAAATTGCTAAGGATTTCATGAATAGCTATTTACAACAAGTGCTTAAAGTGAGAAGACTCACACCTCAAGGTTCTTTGCTGCAAGTGCCATCATCAGCCTGACAAACACCCTAAAACCACCGCCAGTCTCTGCACACTGAAAATTAAAGTGTGATATGCCAAAGTGGCATAGACGTACTATTGTTGACCATATAAGTATACTCTTCCATCATTGGGCATTGCAATAAATCTTGCCACATGATCTCCATCCCCTGCCCATGGTGTAAGTTCAAAAGTTCTTCCATAACTATTAAATACAAATCCCTAGCGCCTCCCACCCTCACCACATCCCCATCTTCACACTGTCTTCTCAGCTTGGCGAGCTCCTTATAGTCCAAGAAATACACATAGTTAGCAGTGTTAATAGTTTGCGGGACGCCATATATCCTATGTGCCATAGGCTGTTCCCTTCACAGCTGCACATCATCCTCTATGTCATTGATCATCAAACTTGCATTATACAGCATTTGAATAACACAATCTATTATCTTGAGCTGGTCACCCGGTACTGCAAGCCACATGTTGAAAGCCTTGAGGAGTAGTGTATGGATGCCCTTACCAGGATTGGAGGAAATATAGGTAAAGGGTTCCAATATGAGTGATTCATTTGCTTCCGACCATTGTGAGTCTAGTGTGGATGAGATCAAATTGAGCAGAGAGAACTGGGAGGACAACATTGGAGATATAGATGCAGAGAAAAAGATTCACATCAATGTAGTTAAATGTAGTAAGAAATTTGAATGTGCTGGTACTGCCTCCGACCACTGGCAGGAGCGTTCACTGCAAAGTGGTCTCACAATCATTCTTAACTGTGTCATGTGGTCCCAAGAAGTTGCACTCCAAGAACCTGTCACAGTATACAACCAAACAGGTTCTTGACACCATGGATGAAGATCAGATGTCATGCCATCTGATGGATCTGATCTTAGAAATGATGGTTTTCGAAATTCATAAACAACCCTAGAATGACTCTGGTAAGCTGGCCAGCTAGCCACTAGTGAGATATGATGTACTCTATTCATGGACATAACCAGTTGCACTGCATGCAGATGTGGCAGCAACTTGTGCACTGAACATTCCGTGATCAAGTATGCAAGTTGCCAATCTGTATCAGTGACTGGGAACCTGCCATGTAGCTCACTGTGAGGGTGTATCATAAGGAACAGAGAAGAATTGGTTTCATGGATTTGGTAGAATGGCAGGCTGCAGAAGTTGGCAAAAAGTATTATGAGCATTTTTGGCCCTTTTCAACTATGTTTCTACTATGGCAAAAACATTTGACATCAATCACTACGTGTTAGAACGCATCACCACTAAACGGGATACAGAGTCCAGATGCATACATGTAGCAGCACTGCAGCCTGTAGGAGGAAAAACATCTAAAAAAATCCAAACATTTATATACAAACACTAATTATAATACATAATGTGTACTGATTAGGGGAATTCTGGCAGAAAATCTCAACACACAACACCTAGTACTGATGGAGCACAATGACCTGATCCAAAAAAACAATATGGAAACCCACCTAGAACATATGACCAGCATAATGCAGTGCATGACACCCTCCCACTGGCGGAACGATCCTTCAAGTCAGATATGGTGACCTCCCACACACATAGTACTGATGACAAAGAGAAAGCTATCCACAGATGAGGCACCTAATAAGAATCTTAGTATCAGGAACTGTACACTCCATATGAATACACATGTACTAAGATGTGAAAGAACAATATGCACATCACTAAAAACCATTAAGCATGATATGACAGTATTCACCTTATAAGTTGGGTGATGTCTGATTTCCCCTTATATGCCTATGTTGTGGTGTGTATAGCACCAGCTCAGATTTGTGATGTATTACTTATTTTATCTTTTGCCTTTTGTTTTGATGAGTCAAATCCAAACCCATATTGACCACCAATCTAGTGTTCCAAGTTCTACATTGTGCATCTATGACACGGTGTAGGGATTCATTTCTGGCTGGGCTTGTAGAGACTGTTTTTACCTTACCTTATGTTGGCACTTTTGTAGCTTACATAAGCAAGCAATCTTTTCACCAGTTACCAGTATGGGTCTGAGGGCTGACCAAGTTTCTATGATATTTCCTCTCCTCTGAGCCTTGAGCCTAGTCCAGAAACCCTTTAGGGTCAAATAGCAGCTAGGTTCTGCAAGACCCAACATTGTTCAGACTCACCATCTGAATTGTTGTACCTTCAACGGGTCACATGATTGTGTGTTGGTCTGTTTCTTCATCTAGCTTCTTGCTGATAAACTATTATAACCCCATGTTAGAGTCCAAGCCAGTGTTGTAGCTACAACTTGAACAATACTGGACCTAGGCGAAAAAAGGGAACAGCCTGAACCAAACCTCAAGCTTATTGCCAAGTATATCAACACAGGCAGGTCGTCGCCATCATCCTTCTTGTCCCTCAGGCCTCAACAATAACAGGGCATGCTGGCACCAGCAAGCCCTGCCAAATGAAGACTTCCTTCCCTCCCTGTCATTCAACAAATAACACAGGACTTCTCCATCTCCTGTGTCAGACTCGAGCCCACTCTCAACACTCGTTCTCATGATTCTCATTCATTCACATTCTCACTCATCATCATCTGCATGGTGTGTTTTTAAGTAATTTATTTTTATTTTACATATTACTCAATGTCTTCCTGCTTGTCTAATCCATCCCCTCTCTCATTCTCGTTCTCGTTCCTGTTCTCCTCCTTGTCTTCTTCCCTTCTCCTGCTCTTGTCCATAATCTGTATTCATCTGAGCCATGTCAGCAGTTGCTGACATGTACTGGGCATTTGTACATGGCATTCATGGCATTGTGAACAGCATGGTGGAGCTCAGACATTGATTAATGATTCAGCATGTGGGCCATGGCTTGCATGAACCCAAGCCCCAGCTTGGGCTCACGGCTCAGGTTTGAAATCTGGTGAGCCTAAGCCAGGCCGGGAACATCACTAAGTATGAGAGTCCAGGACTTAGCAGGAGGTTCTGAATTAGTCTCATTTAAGTTTTGAGCTGCATAGTATGCCCATTCTGCATTTGGCTTTGCCTCAAAGTGAACTGATACGGTCCAAGTTGTCAGTCATTTGTCCTGAACCGATGTCCAAACTAGATAGTTTCAGTTCTCCATTAGTCTTTGTTGTCTGACACTGACACCAAAGCTCGCAGCCTTACCTGGCTCTGACCTGTCTCCATTCCTCTTTTCCTATTTTGAAACACCCTGACTCCTGGATCTCAAGATGAATGAGGTACAACTCCATTGGTGGAGGTCAAGACCTCAGCCACTGCTCATCAAGCATATATTCTGTTCATTCGTAAGTAAGGATCCAACTGACTTTATTTTTAACCCTTACTATCACCTACTCTGCCTCTAGTTACTCATTAATGCTACTTCCTTCAAGTTTCTCGAGTCTCCGTCCAGAGAGTCACACCATATGGTATGGTTCAGGAACAAGCATTGTGGTCTATGCTTCTGTCTAATGAAGGCTGGTCTTTGACAATATGGCCAAATTCAATCTCATGGCCAACCTCTATTCCAAGGCCACAAACTGGATTCTATGGCCAGACTTGATCCCATCGCATTTTATAATACTGCCAAATTCAATCTTATACCACTGAGCTCGATCCTATACCATCAAACTCGATTATAACACTGCACTTTAGAAATACACTAGTAGCTGTAGTATAGATGTATCAATTCTTGTAGTACCACAAAAAGTCGGGTATAAAAATGCACTCACTCAGCGTCAGATGCATCATTTCCCACTGGGATTCACCAATACATCATCCAAGAGAGCTGATACATCACATTCACTGATACATGATACATTTGAGAGAGCCGATACATTGAAGAGAACTGATACATTGAAGAGAACTGATACATCAACATATTGTCACATAGTATGACGAGTACAGAATAACTAATCTTCTGCAGCTAATGGTGGAGGGCCTTCAATGGTGAGTGTGCCATCTGTATCAGCTATGCCCAGCATGCTATCGTCATCCAGCTCAGCAGTTATGACAGCAGGGACAATGGCCCACTGTTGCTTGAATTTTTCCAACATGGCTTTACAGAGTGCAGATTATTGGTTTGTGTATGCTGCGGATCCTTCGCTGTCTGCTGACCTCTTGAAATGATGCGCCAAAGCCAGTCCAGACCACCATGCACTCTGCCAGGCTAAGAATGACAGCACCCTCTGCATCTCTTCAAGCAACAACAGCAATTGTTTGGACTGCACCTCTCGTTCTCTTGCCTTGCACCACTCAATGCGAAGACCTGCCAGCCATCCATCAACTTCACAGCACTTTCAAATAATATTGTGATACGTACAGTCTTGAAGTCCCTCGTCATTGTCTTGTAGCACCCCAGGCGTCTTCCATATCCAAGGTATATTATGAGTACCTTCAGATTGTCCCTAGATGAAGTCACCCATGGGTCTCATATCCATTACTCTGAGAGGGCATAAGATATCAGTCCAGCCAACTTTTCCTAGCAAGGGAGCAAGGGCAATAAGTGCATCCCAAGCAGCATCATATTTTGCCTTGCTGGCATGCTTCTTCTCAACCACGTGATCGAGAGCAGTACGCACACGAGTGGAGGCACATTGACCGTGTATATTTGCCATCTTGAATGTGTTGAAGTGAGCAATGTAACACTCAGATTGGTGTTGGACACGTATCCCGTCGAAAACTCATCTTACATTCCTCGACACACTTCCAATTGTCCAAATGTTCCACACATTCGTCTGAGTCATCCAAAGGTCGTCTGTCTATTTCCAAGGCCTTTCTAGCTTTTCCGATCGTCCATACCATGTCCTATCCTTGTCTGTTTGTCTTCACTGGTGTGTTTTCACTTGGTTATCTGTTATTGATTATGTCTAGGGGCACATACATCAAAAACCCTTGCTAATACATATAGATATGCACCTTGTGCGTTATTACATGTATATCTTTGTAGCAACTCGCTTTGAGTCTTATTACATTTCAGATGTCTTATCTCACTACAGTTTTTGCCTATGCAGATTCCAGACTTTCATGCTGTAGGATATATTCTGGCTCGCTAATACTCACAACTCACTTCACTTCCCTTGCTACGAGTCATAGTTAGTAGAGTCATTTTTGGATTTAGTACTCCACGCAATTGATCTTTGTTCATTCTGAACGATTGTCTGGCCTCACTGCTGCCATTTTGCTATTGAATTCTTTAAGTCTTTCAACAGACTTCGCTAGTCATATTACGCAGAGTTCTATATTTTGATAAAACTGCCATATTCTCTACCGGAAACCTACCAGTTTCATCGGAAGCACACCAGAAGCTTCACACAACCTTGGACCTTTGTTTCTTAACATCGGACCTCATTTGGATGCTTCAGACAACTCTTCAGACACTTCGGACAATTCTTCAGAACTCTGAACATACTTGAGGTATCTTTTCCTTCTCCCTCCTTCAATCTTAACTAGATATCCCTTGCATTTTGTATCAAGAGATAATCCTACAGGCAATCTCT